ATTTCACGTGTGCAGGTGTGGTCAAGAAACCAGCTGAATAACCAATACTTCCAACCACATTGCCCGCCCACACCCCCCACACCCACACCACATTGTCCCGTGTTCTCTAGGGAGCCTGTTATGCTGCTGTGGTTATGCTTTTCGGATTGCACATCATGAACTCAAAGACATTCTCACGAGCAACTGCTGAAGCTTAGCAACAGTCTGTTGATTGCTGCTGGTTTACAACATCCCACACAAATGGTGTGTTATTTTAAGTTGTGCTTTGGCATCTCAGCTCTCTATCCCACTTGGGACCACCCGTGATATACAGCAGCTGCTCACGTTCCTGGTTAACATCTGTCTTTCACACACACCCTGTCTTAGAGACTGAATTTGAGAGCCTCACATACTTTCAAGATGACAAAATTAAACCATCTCCAGGATCTACCTGAGGCACCCCTCAGTGCCAAGGTTCACGGCTCTGTGGGAGGCAAGTGATGTTAAACCCTTATGAGAGATAGAGCTCTTACTTCACTTAGGTTGGTATATCAAAGTATCATAATATAGGTGATGTAAATAAACAACCAAGATTTCTTTTTTACAGCTGAGAAGGAAAGCATATGCAAGATTGAGGCATCAGCAAGTCCAATGTCTGGCAGGACCAATTTTCTAATTCAATGATGGGGACATCTGTTCACTGTAACTTCACATGGCAGAAAGGTCAAGAGACCTCTCTGGCATCTATTTTATTAGGGCACTGATCTTATTCATGAGGACTCTATCATCGTGTTCAAACCACCTTCCAAGTGCCCGTCTCCTAGCAGCACCACATCAGGGATTAGGTTTCAACATACAGACTGCTTTTCATTGGAAAGGCGGATATACAGAGAGGAGAGACAGAGAGGAAGATCTTCCGTCCGATGATTCACTCCCCAAGTGAGCGCAACGGGCCGATACTATGCCGATCCGAAGCCAGGAGCCTCTTCCGGGTCTCCCACGTGGGTGCAGGTTCCCAAAGCTTTGGGCCGTCCTCGACTGCCTTCCCAGGCCACAGGCAGGGAGCTGGAAGGGAAGCGGGGCTGCCGGGATTAGAACCGGCGCCCATATGGGATCCCGGGCGTGCAAGGGGAGGACCTTTAACCACTTGCGCCACCGTGCCGGGCCCCAGACTGCTTTTCAAGTTGAAGGGCAGAAGAGGAAGAGAAGAGAGAGAAACCTTCTGCCTACTGCTACTCCACCAATGATATTTCATCTTTGATAATCTTTTAAAATAGTCTTATCTTCCCTTCTTTAGTCTTCTTCATATAAGAAATACAGGTCTTTAAATACCTACAACTCCTTGAAGAATTCTCCTTAGAATTTTATAATAAATAGCATGGATCCAGTCTACCATAAGAAAAACAAAATTCTCAGCAGGATGGAATGAATATGAGCTAGGAAATCAAGATTATCTGCATGAGAAGGTCATTAATGCAAAATTTTTGAATTAGAGGTCCCTGATATCAGACACAAATAATGATAAGTAGTAAATACGGAGTAATAAGAACTAATTAAAATTGATGTTTTCTTTACACACACAAAAAAAAATCTTCTAGTATCCTGTTATTTCCATCTCTTTGGAAAAGTGCCTAAACCATTAAAAAAGCTTTTTGTTCAGAAAATAATTCCTCAATAATTGCTCAAAACACTTCTTATTGCTTAATCTGGAATGATGGGTTTACTGGAATGTTTTTAGAAGCTCTTAACTCAAGAAATTCTACCTTAAACCAAAACCTCAGGAATCCATTCCAAAGCATCGGCACTTGCACTGGGACTCACCAAGGAAATCATATTGAGTCCATCCATGACAAAGACTTCCCAGTAATTAGTTTGCAGATATATGCAAAAAAGAGCACTATCCTGATTTGGAAGTTATTAAAACTGAGTTAATCAAAATGTTCTTACAGCCAGTACTACTTCTTTAGAAAATTCAACGGAGATGAAGACAGAATTCCACCTTCTTGACAGGTCTAGCTTCCCAGTCTCTTTCCACCGTTTTCCTCACACAGCTACACCACAGGTACCCAGATCTAGGTGGAGTCCCTAAACCAGACAAGCTGAAAATAGAAATGACAGGGAATTCTGAAAAATGTGAAGTTTAAGGGACAGCTGGGATGACTAAGAGCGAGCCATGGCAGGAGACCACCCTTCTATAATACATAAATTATTATGATCTTTTTGTTTAGTATATATAATGTATACAAAATATACATTTGTTTGGCTGCATATTTTGCTTGTTTGATGGACCTAATATATTTTCTCTTCAGACTTAAAAAGCTAATTATCTTCTACTTAGATTACAGGAATAGCTTCCTGATCTCTTCCCATGGTCCGCAGTGGATGACGACTTCAGAAAAAAGTCTTTCAGAGGCTCTCCATTGTGTGTGGTGATTTCCACTCAGAGTGAACCCGCCCTACAGTGTGTGTGGAGCATGAGGACCTATCAGAGCCACTTTAAGGAACTTTACAAACGCTCACATATACATGGAGGTATGTGACATCATTTCTTTCTCATCCTATGAATGTTGGTCAGTGATCAGTGTATACTGTATCACCCATTTATGCTGAGGAATATTTACATACAAAATTTTAGTCATATATAAAGTAATAAATAAGTTATGAATTCATATAAATTTGTTTCATTAATAGAAATAAATATTTTAAATATTTATGTTATATATGAGGAGTTCTCACTGCAGACCAAAGTCCATATTTCCAATATGCCCTGTACAGTCCAGGGAGCAGAAAATCCTGCCTGCTATCCTACCTAGTCTATTATCTTAAGCCACTCCTGAGCACACGCCTTGTGGGCCAACCTGAGTGAATTCCTGAACCAGACTTCCTTTACATATGTCTATTTCTTCATATGATGCTGCTTCCTCTGAGTGCATTTTTCCACTTGGATGTGGAAGTGTGTGAAATATTTTGCTAAAGCACATTTTCTGGAAGCCTTAGAACATGTGGTCTCTGGGGGTTAAGCCACTGTTTGGCACACTTAGTATCCCATGCCAGATGACATATTAGTTGAAGTCCCAGCTGTTCTGCTTCCACTCCAGCTTCTTGATAATGCATCTGGGAAACTAGTAGAAGATGGTCCACTACTTGGGTCCCTGGCAGCCCAGTGGCATGGATCTCAGATTTGCCTGACCGAGCCTAGTTTTTACAAACATTTGAGAGGTGAACCTGCAGACGGAACATCTCTCTGCCTCTTTCTGTGTTACTCGGCCTTTCAAATAGACAAACGGATTTATCTGAAAAGCCCAGTAAGACAGAGGAAGAGAGAGTGAGGATGAGAGTGAGACAGAGCTACCTTCCATCCACTGATTCACTCTTAAAACATCAGCAACAGCCAAGGCTGGGCCAAGCCAAAGCCATCAGCTTCTTCCAGGTCTTCCACTGGGCACAAGGTCCAAGGACTTGGGAACATCTCTGCAACTTTCTCAGGTGCATTAACAGGGGGCTTAATTGGAAGTGTAGCAGCTGAGATTAGGCACCCATGTGGGATGCTGTCATCTCAGGCAGCAGCTAATCCTGTTTGCCACAACGTGGACCCCATATAACAATGATCCTCAAAGAGGTTCTCTCATCCACCCCTACCGCTCCCTAACCACAAACAAGGGAGTATGACACTTCCACTGTACACAGAAGGCCTATTTATTGATGAGTCTCAAATGCTCATTAGGGCTACGACCAAAATTCTGCCAACCATCCAATCATGTCATTCAATAAGCTGGAATCAGATCTTTCATAGTAAGCATTATTGAAACAGATTCTGTAATCAATTATTTAACTCCAAGGAAGATTTTTACATCGCTTGGCTTTCTTGAAGACAGAGTTCCTTAGTTTTTCCTAGGTTCATTATTAGAAAGGTGGTAAACACACAGTCTTAAGTAACTGTCTAAAAGATATACAATTACCATATACTTTAAAATTACCTTAAAAACAAGCTAATGTGTTAGAATGGATCTCATCATGGTGACAAATGCATCACTAGCCACAACCTAAAGAAAACAAAAAAGATTTAGTACTTGCTTGAACTTTTCATCTCTTAGAAAGAAATGCCTGAATTTTATATCTGTGATCAGGTTTGTTGGATGGCCTCAGAGAGTAATTTTTTCTTCTTTAAAATTTTCCTTTAAAATTTGCTTTTGATCATTTCAGACAATTCATCCTATTGAATGAGAAACAGGAGAAGAGAGGAATGTCGAATGGGGTTAAGTAAACGGAGAATCTGTCACATAAAGCAAGCCTAAATCCCAGTAAGAGCATCCATGCAGGACAAACGGAAGCATTATTCTTCTGAAAACATTATTCTTTTAAACAGTGTGTAATGACATCCTCCCAAGAGACTTCCCATGACAGAGAAAAAAATGCAACCTCAGAAGTCATGTTCTAGATCCAAAGTAAAACGAGTGAAGCACAGCTAAATGTCAAGCTGGTGCTTTTCTTCTGTGAAAATGTTCCAAATTATAACTGCAGAGGTGCTCATTAATGTTTTCCGAGCTGTTTATGTATTGTGTATCTTTATGAACAAAAAGACAAAATGAAAGGTTACTATTCTTACTTTAGCTCTACAAATCAATGAATGTATCCTTAGTGCAAAATTCAAACAAAACGTATTTTCTATTTTCAAGGGAGAAATATATCAGACCCCAATGCTGAATGTAAGATAAACTATTCTTAATTTCTTTTTATCACTTTATTATTCTCAATTATAAACCGTGGATTATGTTTCTGAAGCTCTACATTTTAAAAAAACTTCGTTACTGCTTAAACACCAGGAATAGGCTTTTGTTTTGAATGCATAAAATATGCTTAAACGGCAAACAGGAAAATAAACTGAGAAATTACTTTTTCGAGTCAAATACTATTTTATACTTTTAGTGGATACATGGTCAATAAAAGCTCTCAAGAGAGTTCAGAAAATTTTAATATATATTGACTACAATAACAGACAGAAGAAAGACACTAGAGAGAAGTCTCAGTTACGATGTTTATTTAGCAAAATAAACTTGAAAATTTTCTATTAAAAAACGTAAGGATTATATTCAAATTTCAGATTCCCCATTTTCTTTGGTATTACAGTCAACGTTCAGCATATAAAATATTCCGTTTCAAAAAGTTTAGTCATGACGTCTACAACAGTTTTTCATATAAGGAAATTACTATAAAATATTAAGTTATCTGAAATTCTCTTATTTATTAAAAAGTCAATGAATGAATGTATAAAAGAAATCAATTATATGCTTACAAAGACCAACACCATCAAGGAAATATTCATTCAGAGTAATATGTTTTCTACTGAAAATCTACCTCAAGTCTTTAACAAACTGTTGCATCATTTTGACTATGTTATCTGAACTGTCTTCCAGATCCTGTAATAACTGACTCTGTCATTCGACCAAGGATCTGCTTTTCCAAGGAAGTGGACATCAGGACTTAACAACTTCCTTTTCAAGCTGACTACACCATTTTTAAAAGTCTGTATTCTTTACATGTTCATGTTCTACAATCTTCTCCCTAACTCAGTATCTGGAAACTGCTGATAGCATTAAATTATTATTAATAGACTCCAATCATATTTCTCTTTTTTCTCCAAAGGAAAAATTTACTATGAAAAGTACTTTTTGTTTCTTCTAAGAGTAATATTTTATGGACTATGGTATCAGTGTAGTCAAACACTTCTAGAACCAGCATGGAACAACCCAGCTACTCTCCTGATTCTCTGATATAAAGTCTCCAACTCCGATTATTCCACTTCCCTGCTTTCTTGTGCAAAAATATTTTCCCTTAATTTGTTAAAGTGAAAATGAAAAAAAATCAATAACAAGCTAAGGGGATGTTTTTTTTTCTTTTCTTTTGTATGGTCTCCCCTAATCACAAAATGATCTAACCATTCAGCATTTCAGTGCTAACACTGTGACTGGGAACAGGATGAGTACAACCACAATAAAATACAGCTATCTAGTAGAAGGACTGCATAAAGACATCTTTGGCCATGTAGGCTCTGAGCCCTCTGGAAATAAGTCAGTTGCATTGCCAACATGACAAAGAAAATAGCAATGTTCAGAATCAGAAAGAGTCTGGTATAGGAAGCTGATAGGGATGGGGCTCTGCTGTGAGCGGTTGTTCCCATCCGTGCCTGTACAAAGCCACCTTTCATCAAATCCCCATTTTTATGTTTCTCGTAAGTTACATCTGCAAAATCTAAAAGGTCTTTCATTTCTTCATCTTCATCTATGGGTAGCTCTTTCTGTGCCAAAATCTGAGCCTTCTGTCGTATCTTCTTCTCATTCACTTCGATCTGTGCAAAAATGTCAGGGACAGCATCCACAAACTTATAGCGTTTGCCTGCCCTTCGGTTTTTCCTTGACTTGCTTTGCCTCTGCTGCTGTTGCTGAGATATGGCAAAAATCCTGTCAATGGCCTCTTCAGTCTGTCTCTTGTCTGAAAATCTCAGCAGGCGCTCCGCGGTCTTTCTAAAGCTGGCTGTATTTCGGACGCGGGACAGGATCTGCTTCTCCAGCAGCTGGAACACTGGCTTAAAATGCTGTAGGTTCTGTTCCACAATAGCAGCGTAGTCCTTCACCTCAGGGACACTGGTGCTCTTGATGGCTGAACTGCGGTCAAACAGAATTTTCTGGTGATCTGCAATGACTTGTGCGAAGGCAGACTGTCCTGAGGGCTCACCCATCCACAGGTAGGTTGTGTAGGCATGTTCGCTGGTGGCTATGAACACATCCAGCTGCTGGGAGCTGCTGTGGATGCTGAAGCTCTGAACATCTACAGAGGGTCCTATGAAGAGGTATGCTGCCCTGGTGACAGGACTTCGGAGGTGCATGGTGACATTCACATAGTTTGTCCCATTGTAAGGATAGCCCCGGGGGTACGTCACCGAGGCAAATGTGGCCTTCTCACTGTAGCCAGTGTCATCCATCCAGTACATTTTGTAAAGACCATCTCGCTGTCTGATGAAAGCCCCATGGACCCCATCGACCTCCGTCTCCTCAAAAGGAACATCCACATTGTGGAAAAAACTTGCTGCTGTCTGCAGGGCGCTGTCCTCTCCCAGGTGTATCTCGTCCACGAGGAGGAGAAGCTGTGGGTGGAGGAGGATGAGGTTCCTTTGAATGTTCTTCAGATTGAGCTGGGGATTGTAGGCTCCCACGCCTTCTCCTCGGATGAAAACCACCCCGCTTTTCTCCACTGCAGCAACCACTCTCCCCTGACAGCTGGCTGCCAAATCATGCTTGTATTTAGACCACTTTGACGAGCAATCTTCTGTGACCTGACCCTCCCAGGGAGAAAAGCAGCTCTTTGACACAGCTGGGGAAAACATCAAGACATTGTTGAAGAAGGTGTACTTGGGCCCATAGAGAGCCTCAGTAATAAAAGGCACACCATTGGGAGCAAAAGTAAATGAGTTTTGATCAGGATGTTCATGTCCTGCATTAAAATTTCTCCATCCTTTGATCCAGTCTTTGTATTTGTTTCCGTGAACGATGTCATATATTGCACGTCCCCCAAGTTTTCCTGACTTGAAGGAAAGGAAAGACCTATTGATTTCTGCTGGTAGTGCACTGCCATACGTCACAACGCCCCAGTCTTCAAAATAATGCAAGGTAGGGGTGCCAAAATCGGAAGGAGGAACTGATTTCAGGTTGGCATCATACCTGAAAGAATTAATGTTTAAATCTTAGGTGGTTTTCTGGTACAAGAAATAACACTCCACAGCCGTGATGCTAAAGAAATGCAAAAACACCACCCAGAGCACTGCCATGTAGATTGCATTAGGGACACTTCTTAAAGCACCACACCAGCATGCACCACTGATGACAGAGAGGGGAAACGATCGTGACAATCTGTGACCTTTGAGACCACTTTGTGCAATGTTTTTGTGGCCTAGATCTGGACATAGGCCAAGCTGGGCCAGGCTTTAGCATCCTCTGGCATTAACAAGAACCAGTACAGGGTGAGGGTTGCACCTGGCTAGGCTTGGCTGCACCACCCACATCAAGAACTGAGACTGCCGGTGGGCCAGGCCAGGCTTGGTCAAAGATCCTGCCAGCAAACACAAGGCTAGGAACTGGTCTTGAAGAGGAACTCTGGGGATTCCCCTGCTGGGCTTCAGTTCCCACTAACGAATGCAAGAACTAGGCCTGTGAGCAGATGAGGCCGGACAGTGTGGGTTGTATCTGAGAGTGGGTGAACCTGTACTGGGTTCCAGCACCTGGTGATGCTTGTGAGAACCAGCCTGTGGGCCAGGCTAGACCACAGTACCTGCTGGGTCACATGACAGCCAGGCTGGGCTAGGCCACAGTACCACCAGTGAGTACCAGGACTAAGAGTTGGCCGTGTCCAATCTGGGTGGTAGCTTCCAATGGCACAGCTGAGATCTACTGCAAAAGTGGGCCTGGAAGGTGAACTTGGGGAATACCCTTGCTAGGCACAGATCCTGCTGGTGAGCATGAAAGTGGTACATATGCGAGTTGGGTCTGGGGCGGGACCAGTTAGGGTCCGTCTACAGCACACACTGTCATGAGTGAGAGTCACGACAGGGCACAGGCCAGGCTGGGTTGAACTGCAACACCTGTCAGTTCACATGAGGGCTGAGAGTGGGCCAGGCGGAGCTACACTGTTGCACCTGCCAGCAAACACTGGGACCAGGCCAGGTTGGGCTGAGCCAGACTGTAGCACCTGCTGGCAAATGTCAAGACTGAGGGTGTGTCATCTAAGACTGGACTTCAGCACTTACTGGCATACAAGATCCAGGGCTGGCCTTGTATAGAAACTTCAGGGACTCCGTTGCTGAACTACTGCTTGTAAGCATGAGAGCATGGAGCAGCTCTGTGGAGCAGTCCTTGGGTGAGCCAGGCTGGGCCAGGCTGCTGTACCTGCTGGTGTGCGGAAAAGCAGAATGGATGTGGGCTGAGGGAGCTGAGCCACAGCACCAGTTGGCAAGTTCTGGGCCTGGATGTGGGTCATGTTAGGCTGCACCATATTACCCCCTGGCAGGAACAAGATCCAGGGCTGGGAACATGCTTAGCAGGGGATCTGTGAGCTAGGCTGAACTGCTAGGCTATACCTATTGTTGGTGAGCATAAGAACCAGGGCTGCGGTAGGCCAGGCTGAACAATGCAACAGCACCTGTCAGGCTTGGCCTGGGGTCAGGGTGTGATGACCAAAGCTGCAGTGCCTATGGGTGCGAACCAGAGCTGGATGGGATGTATGCTGGGTTGGAGTGAGTAAGCTGTACCAACCAAACAAACAAAAAACAACACTGGGAGTGGGCCTGGTAGAAGTTATTAAATGTCACCTTCAGTAGGTTGCAGTACCTGCTGGTATGTATGAGGACCAGGTCTGTGGCAGGCTGGCTGGGCTAGGCTATTGCACCTGTCAGTTCATGCAGGATGTGGGTCTGAGACAAAACTAACCAGACAGCTGCATCCATCAGTACATGCATTGTCCTGTGCAGGTAACAGACTGCATCTGACTCTGCACTGACTGGGAATGTAAAAGTCTGAGGTCATCCCAGTCGAGGTTTCTTGGGGGACTGCTTAACTAGACTGCTGGACACAGATCCTTGCCACAGGGAAAATTACAGGATGTGTAGTCCAACCTTGAAGGACATGTGTTGGGAATAGGCCTCCTCAGCTGCTGATGCCTGAGCAGTGGACAGCATGTCCAAATGCACAAGGGAGACATAACAGTCATATCAACTAGGCCAGGAGGGGATATCAACAGCCTTGTCAGAGGATGAAGAGCAGGTAGAACAATTCTGGCCAAGCTTTGCAACATGTTGCTGGGTCAGGGGATGTACTAGGTGGACTTTGTCAACCTGTAGGCCTTGGAAAGATTTTCTCAGGCCTGAAACAACGAAACTGACAATGTCTCGGGGCATCATCAAAGGACTATCCCTATTGACAGCAAGGAGCAGCCCTCTCTCTTTCTTCTTCTGTGGGCAGAGAAGGAAAAAAAAAAAAACACTGACCTATGTGTCCCATTCACCATCCTCCATTCCTGACCTGCCCACCCTAATCAGTGGCCCACATGGGCATGCATCCTTCTCAACTATGTAAACAATATTAAAAAGGAAAAAAAAATATTTTAAGGTCCCAGCGTGGTAGCCTAGTGGCTAAAATCCTTGCCTTGCATGCACCAGGATCTCATATGGGTGCCAGTTCTAATCCGACATCTCTGCTTCTCATCCAGCTCCCTGCTTGTTGCCTGGGAAAGCAGTCCAGGATTGCCCAAAGCCTTGGGACCCTGTACCCAGGAGAGCTGGAACAGGTCCTGAGCTCCTGGATTCAAATCAGCTTAGCTCTGGTCGTTGCGGCCGCTTTGGGAGAAAATCAGCGGACAGAGGATCTTCCTCTCTGTCTTTTCTCCTCTCTGTATAACTGACTTTCCAAAAAAAATAAATACATCTTTAAAAAATGTTTTTAAAAGTTTCAAAGACTATGGTACAAATAGACTTGAGGTGGTATGTACTTAAGTGGGAAGGAGAAGGGGTTTGAGAAGTGATTTACGTTAGTTTATCTTTTTAAATGAAAAAAACCAGGGCACAGTTAACAGTATTCCTGGAAGCTGGCCCAACACGTCTTACCAGAGAAATTCCGTGTGTAGCGTGCACCAGCGCTGGCCTTTGGATGGGGTGCCAGGCCCTTCCACCACGCGATTCTTTCTGATTTGATCAGCCAGCCAGTTGCCACTGCCATTACGCATGACAAATTTATCCAGGAACACTAATTGGCTTTCTGGACCATAAAACCAATTGTAATTTGAGTCTGCAATAGCCACTGTCCTTTGAAACCCTGGGGAAGGAAGATGGAAAGGATTAAGGTAAGTTTAAAATTGCATAGTCCTATCAAGGTCTAAACAATGCTTTCCTTTTATAGATAAGAAATTTCAAATTATTTATTTATTTAAGAGGGAAAGAGATGCAACACGCAGGGTAGCCCTCCTCTATCCTCTGGTTCACTTCCTCAAAGCCTGAAATAGCGAGAGCCAGGCCAGGCCAAAGCCAAGAGCCAGGAGCTCAACAGAGTTCCCCCACGTGGGTGGCAGGGGCCTGCACTACGCAGCAACAGGGAGTTAGAATCTATACAAGAGCCAGGACTCAAACATAGGCACTTCAACACGGACATCCCAAACTGCAGCTTGACCCTAAACGATCCTCAAAGCTAGCTGCAAATGAGAATCAGCTAAATGTTTGGGGGAAGAAAACAAAACATGATGTCTTCCTTCTATTCCAAATCAACTATGTTTGTTATGTGTAAAGCTGTAATGGTTATATGGCACTTGCTATTGGTAACAGTACTGCTATGTCTATTAATTGTATACATCTCACCCACCTTCCTCATTTCTCAGTATGTATGATATACACAAGCATATTTATTTTCAGGCATGGTATAAGCTTCTGTGTACAGTGAGTTCCTAAACTTGGAATGAGCACTAGCTCTCTCATATCTCAACCTGAATTCTAGGCCAAGATAAAAATATTAGCTGTTGCATTTTGTGTTCCAACAAAGTTGAAGTTAGACTTTACATAAAGTTCAGGGCAAAAACTGAAAAGGGAAAATTTAAGGGAAAATTGGAAGAAATCTTAATTTCCAGGGAAAGTTTTGATATTATGTGCTGGGGGAAGTTAAAAGAAAAAAATTGCAAGTATCATAATATCAGGGCATCATTATTAGAAACGTAGGTAAGACTGGATATGCTCCGGTTGTTTTTGAAAAAGAAGGGCACAAAACTTTCGGCTGAATTAGAATAGCCATTACTAGTATACCAACAGACAGGGGATAAACACGGAGATGTAGCTGAGATTGACATAGGCTAAACACAGAATCTCTTCTCAAATGTCACCATAACCATATATGCATAAGCTAATGTTTTTGCTCCCCTATAGCTTAGTAAATTCTCTTCAAAGTAAATTTTACTTATTTTAAAATGTGCTACTACACAAATCACATTTCAAATCTGTGAGTTCTCTCAATGTAGAAGGATTGAATTTATCTTTGAATTTCTTACCTGGCTGTGGATAATAAAGGCTTTCTGGATTTCTAAACACAAACATGCTGGGAACAATACAGTGGTGTGGTATGCTAAGTTGCCACTTGAGACAGCAGCAGCCCATCTCAAAGGGCTCTCTGTTGTGCTTCTGTGAGAGCTTCCCGCTGACGTGCCTGTACTTGGGGCTCTATAACCCATGTAGAAGAGGCAGTGCAGCTCCTGGGTGCTGACTTTGGCTTGGCTCAGTCCCAGCTTTTGTAGCACCTGGGGAATTAACCAGAAGACTAAAGACCTCTGTCTGTCTCTCCACCTTTCAATAAGTAAATGAATACATAAAATACTTAAATTAAAAAGAATTCCTTAATCAATACTATAAATATCACAGGATTGACTTCTTTTCCTACTCTAGCTTATTTCTTTTCTTTAAAGAAAAAAAAGATTTTATTTTTTATTTTATTGGGAATTCAGAGAGGAGGAGAGACAGAACTGAAGGTCTTCTGTTTGCTGATTCACTCCCCAAATGGCTGCAATGGGCAGAGCTGAGCTGATCCAAAGGCAGGAGCCTCCTCTGGGTCTCCCATGTGCTTGCAGGGTCCCAACGCTTTTCCAGGTCACAAGCAGTGAGCTGGATGGGAAGTGAGGCCGCTGGGATTAGAACTGGTTCCTATATGGGATCCCAGCACATGCAAAGCAAGGACTTCAGCCACTAGGCTACCATGCCTGGCCCTCTAGCTAACTTCATAATCAGAAGACAGACATTACAATAGTTGAATATTTTCCCACTGCTCACTTTTCGCTATACCTGGTAAGATGGTTCTATACATAAAAGCAAAGTGTTGCTTAAGCCATGGATGGCCAAAGTGGTTGATATCAAAGTGCCTCTGAACAAGAAACATATATTGAAAGAGTGATCTAGTGGTGTAGCTGCCATATGCAACTCCTTCATAGAGAGAGCCGTCTGTCACCTCTCGCAGTAAAACCAGAGATTTTTCCATGATGGTCAGAACTTGTTTGGTCCATAAGTAGGCTTCTTGAAGATACCCTGAAGGATGAAAACATGTAAAAGCAATGACTAAAAAAGGCCAGAACAAGGCATAGGCAAAAATACAACGAGTAAAACTCTCTGAACAGTTGCATTACAAATTGTATTTTGCAAAACTCACCTATCAATATTATAAATAACATCTTGTTAAATAGGTGTTTGATATGCCTATGATATAAAATTAAGAAGTTCCTGAACATAGGTCATTTATTGATTAAATGTAAATTAAACCTGTATTTGTTATTTTTCAATATTTAATAAACTAAAGCTACAATCATTTATAAGATCACAAGCTGCAGATTATTATTAGTCTGCAAGAAAATATTTTCTTTTCTTTTAGATGATATTAACATAGTTGATCAGAGTGGGATGGATCAAGACCCCTTAACCTCCCTCCCCACAAAACAGGAAGGAAAAGTAGTAAATTTGAAAACAAAGAAAATATTTTCGTACTCGGATCCTATTTTTCCAAAACTACAGTGCTTGAAAAACCTTTTTTTGACTTTATAATGTTGCAAAATTTTACATCATTACTTCACAGGTTTCACAAATAAGACACAAGTAGTATAAATGCTAAATGGACACTCTTCAGCTGCATGATCATTAGAAGACAACCGGTCATTCTCTATGTGCTTTGCTTTCCACGCAATCTGGAAAGGCAGCATAGCAGACTCAGAAACCTTCCAAATGGGAACCTCATGGTGATGAAACTCAATTAAGAGTCCTGAATCTGTCAAAAGTATTTACATTATTTTGTCCACATAGTTGTTCAGCCTAGCAAATGTTTCAACTTCCCTACTCAAAATTAAAAGTCTAAAGTGTTTTACAAAATCTTTTTGACTTACTAAATTTCTAGAATTCCTTTGTTTAGGTAACAATAACAACCTTTCATATTTCTATTAAAATAATTTACACAGCACTGAACAGAATCCTACTTAATCCCTTCAATAACTCAATTACGCATTCTTACCCCCAAATTACAGAAAAGCTTGATTGTTCCAGACTCTGCCAAATGACTAAAATGAACAGAAATTTGATCTCTAGGTCTTTAGGTTCAAGGTTTGGGTTTTCTATTTGTCCCTTTTTAAAATAAACAATCGAGTATAAAAATAAATCACTAACTCCTAATGTGGATGGAGCCTTACTGCTTCACTGTCATCCATGTGTTTATCCTCATTGCTGCTTAGTGCAGCACTGCCTAGTAAATGTGCTTGGAGCCGGGTACCCAGAGACCCAAGGAGCAACAGCTCGGGATCTGTGCTTAGTCACAGGCTAAGTACTGGCTCCCATCTCATGGGGCAGCACCGTTCTCGGGCATGGCTGGGCAAAAGTGATGTTTAAACTGTTCCCCGGCTATTTCTGCCACTCCGTTGCATACCTGACACACTGGATGATTTTGTTCACATTTTGTATCATTCAAGTTTAAAATTCTAGTCATCTTCATCTTTTCTCTGTCGGTGTTCTCCACTTCCATCAAGACACCAACGTGATAAATGCCCCAAATCAGGCCAATGCTCCCTGTATATATACCTGCTTTTCCTTATTTGTTCTCTCTTTCTCAGGAGATCATGAGCAATGTCTGCAAAAATGCTCTGCAAACTGCAGGCCTCTGTCAATATGCAGCGATGTTTACCAAAATACTTTGTGCATTGCAAACCTTTATCCATGTGAAGCTTGATATTTTGCTAACTGAAGTTATGACCTCTTATCTAAATTATTATCCATTGTTTAAAGTTCCATGAACCTTCCCAAACTCATGTAAACAACACTCTTCTCTTGAATTTCAGTGTAACATACTCATTTGATATTCAATCATAAATCACTTCAAGACACCTTTCATGTCAATCTCTGACTCCATTACAGATTAATCATTCCTAATGCAAAAGCTCTGGTGTACAAAAATATTCCAGATTCTGGAACATTGCAGAGTTTTGGATTTTAGATTAGGCTTGCTTCACCAGTGAAATTTAAACAAACACCTTAAAACCTGTAAAACTGAAAACTGAAATATATCTAATTTCAGGCATTCAGATAAGGGAAACAACTTGTATAGCTACTGTGTAATGATTTAAACTCTTTCCAACTAATTTTAAACGCTGTCCATGTGATCTTAGTGGTTCCTGAACATCAAGTGTGGAGTTGGAGAGAAGAGGGAAAAACACAAATTCTCCTACTTTTAAAATTTTTGTGTCTAATGAAAGTTATCACGGAAGCCCAAGTTACATTGCTCAGCATGCACAAGGATAGCATGACAAAAATGAAATTACTGAAGTAATTCAGGCAAAGCTATCTCCTGAAGTTCAAGTGAGGTTAATGAGACAGCCACAATCTAAGACTATTAACTAAGATGTGTGGGATTATAGATTTCGGTCTCTTTCTTTCCAATATTCTTATCAATGTGCTTATTTTTTATATAGAGGCTGCAGAAAGGTATATATTAGGGCCAACAAAACTTCCATTAAGAATTAAATGTGCAGGGCCCGGCACGGTGGCGCAAGTGGTTAAAGGTCCTCGCCTTGCACGCCCGGGATCCCATATGGGCGCCGGTTCTAATCCTGGCAGCCCCGCTTCCCTTCCAGCTCCCTGCCTGTGGCCCAGGAAAGCAGTCGAGGACGGCCCAAAGCTTTGGGACCCTACACCTGTGTGGGAGACCCAGAAGAGGCTCCTGGCTTCGGATCGGCATAGTATCGGCCGTTGCGCTCACTTGGGAAGTGAGTCATCACATGGAAGATCTTCCTCTCTGTCTCTCCTCTCTGTATATCCGCCTTTCCAATGAAAAAATAATAAAAATAAATCTTAAAAAAAAAAAGAATTAAATGTGCAGAAAACGTGCATTAAAAAAGAATCATATATTCTGATCAAATCCAAATCAGTATTTTTGGTGCTTGTTTATTATGTAGGACATAATAATTCCAACAATGAATAAAGAAACAAACTCTATTCTAGTCCTTAAAGAACTATAAAAATAAAACAAATTCTAAACTAAAATCTTTTGTCCCAGCTTGAGATTTGGCTCACTTATGATATCTTTTCTTGAACATTGGGTTTATAAAGGTTAATAATGAGCTAATAATGGGTTCCCATTTTATTTCCATTTTTACTCTGCACTTAATTCTAAAATGTTTTAAAAATATGTATTTTTATTTGAAATAAAGAGTTACAGAAAGAATGAGAGACAGAGATCTTCGATTCGCTTCTTCATTCCCTCAAATGGCGACAACAGTGAGAACTGGGCCGATCTGAGCTTTTTCCAGGTCTCCCAAGTGGATACAGGAGCCCAAGAATTTGAGCCGTCTTCTGTTGCTTTCTTAGGCCATTAGCAAGAGATGGATTGGAAGTGGAGCAGCCAGAAGCTTAGCCTACTACACCTGGCCATGTCTTGGAGAACAGAGTATGAGGGGAATCATGATGAAAATTCACTCTCCACATTAATCTTTCCTTAAATTATTATAAATTCAATTTCTATTCTGAGGCAGTAAAAAAAGAAAAAGATACTGAACTTTGAAGCTGGCCATATTTTTTGTAAAGGGTGTCCACAAAGTACACAGAAATTGCACACCATGAAAAAAATTGTGCAAAGATTTCCATTTGTTTTTATCAAAATTATCTTTCAATTCTATTTTCCATAAACTTTTTGCATTACCAACAGCTGATGTCTAAACTAAAATATGGAAAAGGACTAGCATATGTCCTATGATGAATTGAAGTGTTTCTCCTCCTCTAAGACTCAATTAAAAGTAATGAGGAGGGGAAAGCTGCTGCTGAGACATAGCTGGTGAAGTCATTCTCCATGGTGCTGGCATCCCATATAGGTGCCGGTTCGAGACTCAGCTGATCCATTTCCAACCCAGCTCCCTGTGAACAAGCCAGGGAGAGCAGTGGAAGACGGCCTGAGTCCTTTCATATCTGCATCCATGTGAGAGACCAAGAAGCTTCTGACTCCTGACTTCAGACCAGCCCAGCTCTGGCCATTAAGGCCATATAGGGATGAATCTGTGGATAGAAGACGTGTGTGTGTGTGTGTGTGTGTGTGTGTGTGTGTGTGTGTGTGTATAACTGCTTTTCAAATAGCTGGGCCCAGTATGATAGCCTAATGGCTAAACCCTTGCCTTGTCCACCAGGATCCCATGTAGGTGTCAGTTTGTACCCCAGCTGCTCCACTTCCCACTGAACTCCCTGCCTGTGGCCTGGGAAAGCTGTAGAGGATAGCCCAAAGCCTTGGGACCCTGCATCCAGGTGGAAGACCCAGAAGAAGCTATTGGATCTTAGCTTCAGATCAGCTCAGCTCTGGCCGTTGTGACCACTTGGTAAGTGAATCAGTGGACTGAAGATCTTTCTCTGTCTCTCCTTCACTCTTTAAATCTGACTTTACAATAAAAAAATGAAATAAACCCTTCAAAAAATAAGTTGATGGCATAAACGATAAAATTTGCATAAACGATGATGCTGGACAGTCTACATACCGCTGTTTTACGTTAGTTTTCATGAGGAATGCAATCAAGAGCTAAACTCCTTTAGATTTACATAACAGTCTAATATTTCACTATGATCTTAGAGTTTTGTTCAATACATCTTACTAAGTTACTTACAGATTTCCACATGCATTGTAATTAAGTCAGGAGTGCAAGAAGAAAAAAAATGCAACACTGGTAATTATGCAATATGTTAAAGAAAAGTAGCTATATATTCTACACTTTCATTTCAGTTTTGGTATAAATGATCCAAATTGCTTAAGTCTTTAAGAAAAAAAAAGGACTTCTAATATGATTCATATCTGTGTGCTAAGAATATTCACTTTAAGAAGCAAACTACCGAGCCTGGCGCATAGTGTCATGGTTAAGGTCCTCGCCTTGAACGCGCCGGGATCCCATATGGCGCCAGTTCTAATCCCGGTAGCTCCAGTTCCCATCCAGCTCCCTCTTGGTGGCCTGGGTGGCCTGGGAAAGCAGTCAAGTACAGCCCGGAGCACTGGGACCCTGCACCCATGTGAGAGACCTGGAAAGAAGTTCCTGGCTCCTGGCTTCAGATCAGCGCATTGCCGGCTGTTGCAGCCACTTAGAGAGTGAATCATCAGATGGAGGATCTTCCTCTCTGTCTCTCCTCCTCTCTGTACATCTACCTTTCCAATAATAATAAATAAATCTTAAGAAAAAAGCAGCAAACTACCTGTTTAGCTTTTAAAAACTCAGTTTGTTTCAGTTTGGCTCAATTCATTTTCAGAATTCTCTGGGAAAATAAGTATTCGTCATTGACTCCACGCTAAGAGGATATGGCCTACGACAAAGGCTGTAATCTGCAGGCTAAAAGAACTAGTAGAAACGAGGTAGATGTTCCTAAACTAACAAAGAGAAGCCGTAGATATTGCCTCATTCACGGGCTGTCCGAAGGTCCAGATATAAACATGAACCTAAGAACAGTTGTCAAAATGCTTCATTTACAGCATGGTGACTCTGACACAAGCCAGCTCAGGCAGCTCCCTGCTGTACTCACACGCACCTTGATTCATGAGAACTAAGCTTCCTGTGAGCAAAGCCATGCAGTTGGTGGGCTGATGGTTATGCAGGTACTGAAATCCCCACCCTCTTCTGTAGGACGTTTCATACATATATCCCGAAGCATTGGCAATCACTTCAAGAAACTTCTCCTTTTGTGTCTTGCTTAGATAGCTGTACAAGAAGTCATAAGCGGTGGCAAAACCAACCAGTGAGTGAGCAAGGGGGACTTCATCCCAAGGGGCGTCTTTCACCAACCTGCAAAGAAGAAGAAACCATGTAAGTGAGTGTGCCAAGGCCCGTAGCTTTCGTCACCTTTCTTAAGTCTCTATTTCTCAGAACACAATGGAAGTTTAATGATGCAGAACTCACTTCCCTCCACATTAGACATAAAGTATGTCTTGGGCACAGCATTAACACTTTCATTTTTCAGGTTTTTGGCAGTACCAGAAGTTTTGCTTTTGAAAATTGATTCATTTTTGAGTTTTATTTATTTACTTGTCAGGCAGAGTTACGGGAAGATGGAGATCTTCCATCTCCTGGTTCATTCCCCAGACATCCACCTGGCAGAAGCCAGGAGCCCAGAACTCCAATTTAGGTCTTGCATTTGGGCCTCTGCAAAAAGCTGGGTATGATTCTGGAGCAGCAGGACTTCAAGCAAGGCTGACATGGGATCTCAACATCTCAAATTGCAGTTTAATGTGCAGTGCCACAACACCACCTGCGCTCTTCATTGTTGACAAAAAGTGGCAGAACAAACTCAAAAGAGATCGAAAACACTGTACCTGTAATGGCAGAACAGGAATTATCTAGAAATATCAATCGACAAGCGCTCATTCATCCACTCTACAGGAGAGCCTCAATCCATTACGGCTTACTAGTAGAGCTTATTTCCTACAGCTGATCAGTACAGGAAAGAACTATATAGCCAACAAAGCAGAGAGTGCTAAAAGGCTGATGTAAATGAGTGGGAGTTGATTTTAACTCCAGATAAGATTCTTCAGCTATTTTAAAAGCATGTAACCTACCTTAAACAGGAAATAGGATCTTTCATAATCACAAATCTAAGGAACTATCTAGAAAACCCATCTTAGCTGTTCAGGATATCTTTGAGTAATCTCTCAGACAAGGAAACAAATGAAGATTGTGACAAACCTGTGGGAGGTGGAAGAAACCCCTCAGATATGAATTAAGCTAAAGCTTAATATTTCTATGCCGTTAATCCCTTCCAACAACCCTAGTGAAGACAGCCTTTCCGGAAAGGTTGTAAAATCCATAGGACATCATACATATGGATATAAGAATATCTATCATTTTGAAACAATCTATATCTAAAAAGACTTATATACATTTTATTAAAACATTGAATAATATTTAATAGCAGAAACAGTAGTTATCGGTTATAAGTTGATGAGCGTAAATTCTAAGATGTCTATACAAACTGTAATATGACAGGAAAATCCTGTGATAGCTATCTGCAATAACGTTACCAAGTTATTCCAATTCTCTTACAGCTGGTTATCTCCATTCATACGTTAGATTTCAGTTAGTAACAATTATCATGCAGTATTTTCCGCAAGCCCACAAACCTCAGGGTAAGAATATCTTAAAATGCTCTGAAGACTTATCTCTTCTAGAATGTGTATTATTAAAAAAGTGGTCCTGATGAGGCATTCCCTGGTTACACTGTCAGATTTACACACACACACACACACACACACACACACACACACACAATTTTATTCCCTTCCTTGTTTTTCTGTACCTTTAATAAATACATGTAAATATGTATATGTGCACACATGAGTATGTGTGTGCCCCTCACTGGAATTTAAGTCTAACACGGATAGTTTTCCTGTCCTAGTAATTATTGGATTTCCAATCCTAGCAAACCATGTGGAACATAGTAGACTCCCCAAAATTGGAAAGAGAAGACCTAGAGGGACAAACGTATAAATCAAGGCCTTGTGCAATAGCTTGATTGGCTAATCCTCCCCCTTCAAGCACTGGGATCCCATATGGGCACTGGTTCATGTCCCAACTGCTCCACTTCTGATCCAGCTCCTTGCTTGTGACCTGGGAAAGCTGTGGAGGACGGCCGAAAGCCTTGGGACCCTGCATTCCTGTGGCAGACTAGAAGAAGCTCCTAGCTCCTGGCTTCAGATCAGCTCAGCCCTGGCCTTTGTGGCTGCTTGGGGAATGAACCAGCAGATGGAAGATTTTTCTCTCTGCCTCTCCTTTCTGTAAATCTGCCTTTCCAGCAAAATAAATAAGTCTTAAAAAACAAAAAACAAAAAAGATTTGTTAATTCTTATTGGAAAGGCAGATTTACAGAGAGAAGAGACAGAGAGAAAAGAGATCTATCCACTGTTTTTACACCTCAAGTGACCGCAATGGCCAGAGCTGACTCCATCTGAAGCCAGGAGCTTCCTCCGGGTCTCCCATGTGGGTGCAGGGTCGTAAGGCCTTGCACCGTCCTCCACCACTTTCCCAGGTCACAAGCAGGGAGGTGGAAGAGACGTGGAAGCAGCTGGGACAGGAACTGGGGTGCATGTGGGATCCAGATGTGTACAAGGTAAGGAGGTTAGCCACTAGGCTACTGTGCTGGGCCCAAAATAAATAAATCTTAAAACAACAAAAACTATAAATCAAGCCACAATGTTCAGAAAGATTGCATGATCATCACGAAATGAGGAATTTGGAGATGCTCCTTTGTTTTTAGTAAAAACATCAGTGTCTGGCTAGCTATATAGGTATTAGTGTTTAGCTGGATGCTAAAAAAGACTATGTTCCTTAACTATTGGTTTACAAACCCGCCTTGCTCTAGGCGGCCACTGTACCAATAAGCACACTATATGCTACAAACAATGAGGATATGAATAATTTAACTATCTCTAAGTGGGTAAAAAAGACACTCATAATGTACGCCAAGGAGTTGGGAACACACTGCTTACTGGGGCATGGTCACCGGTGAGCAACAGACGTCAAGTCACTACTTTAACAGGCAGTGCTATCCTGACACGTAATGAAGCATCTACTAAGGATACCTGGTCCTAAAGCAACTAACATCAAGGGACTGCCAGCACACCCTGGCCAACCTGACTCACCAATGCGCTTATGTATAAAAACAGAATATTTGATGTTTAGGATGGATGAAATATTATAATGCAAATTTGTGAAAAAAAATTTCCAAGCCCTCAAAATATCTTTTGCTTATTTCAAGCGGTTTTCGGTTTGACAGAACACTACCTTACCAATAAAAAAAAAAGTTCATGCTCCCTTCAGGTTCATCCCTATATCTTTATGAAAGCTGACCATAAAGAGCAGCAGGATTTCTGAACAGTTATCTAAAGTGCTTACAAATAGAGTCTGACTCAGACGTAGATACAAGTACAGTAAAGGAAAGGATCATATATTGCAGCCATGAAAACCAAAGGGAATTATCTCGAGCTCCTGATCAGCAGGGTAATCCCACCTTACTGAATGCGATCCTGACCAGTGGTTACCTAGCTCTTTCTAACAGCAGGTAGAGCAGGAGTAGTGTATGCTCACAAAAAATACATATATTAGCAGATGAGTTTTGTTTTGACATAAAACGTACCTAGATATACACAGGTCCAGCCTTTTGAAGATGAGCCAAAACTTGTTCTTCAAATATGTGTTCATGGATGAAGTTTCCAGCAAAGAACACAGAATACATCATCACAATTTCCAGCTTTAGTTTCATTCCAATATAAGAAGAAATCACAGACACAGAATCCCTCCATATTTCTGCAAGTTCTTCTCTAATCTTTAATAAATCTCGCCATACTATATCATTATAGTAGGTTTTATACAGTAAGTAATTTCACAGCATTTAATTTGGTTTTAGAAACACTTTCTTCTTTTCAAACTCACTTCACCTATTTACATAACATCATTAAAACTGAGTAATTACGGGTATTACTGCAAATGGCCTCCATTGGTTTGAGAACAAATATGTATATAGCATGACTGATACTTGCTAAAAACACAATCCTCCTGCTGGGAGCAGAATTCAGTGTACACAGTAGAGGGTAGCCCAACACACTTAAAGTTCAGTGTCCTATGAATAGTCACCAATTACCAAAGAAAGAGCAGGTCAGTGAAGAGGAGTTGAATTTTTTTACAGTATCCCTTCTATGTAAGAGATACTTTCTACCCTCATGGCAGCTGTTCTCAAAGTAAAGTTCATGGACCCTTGGAGGGGTCTTAGACTCTTTTGGGGGAATCCATGGGTAAGAAAAATTATTTAATACTCACTTAAGTAGATTATGTGTTAATATTTGCACTAATGGTGCAAAGGTACTAGTAGGTAAAAAATGCTGGTGCTTTAAAAGAATCCAGGCTAGGGCACTAGACTGCTACAGGGATTCTGGATGATTTTTGCATTGCCATCCAGATTTTAAAAAAAAAAATGTTTCAGTTAAGTATTTTTTTGACAAAGTCATAAAAAAAAAAGATTAGGTTTATCAAACATCAACCACCAACTGTTTCGATGCATATCTTTTAAAAATTTTGTTTGGTTAAAGGGGAGGTACATAAGAAGTGCAAAATATGTGAGTGTTCCAAAGAAAAGCAATCGGTTATGAGTTAAGAGCAGATCTAGGTGCTTTTGTGTAGGTGTAAACATAATTTTTACATGACAATGATCAACTGACTGCTAATTAGAGTTATTTGGATTTGAGTATTGAAGAAGAGGCTTTCCCAAAATAAACAAGGAAACCTGCCAATTCAAGAAAAGCTGGAAGATTTTCTTGCCAATAACAAACTTGCAGCTTTCAAGTGGGAGCAGGAATTCTGGGAAAGCTGTGTCCACTACTGTAAACTTAAGGGCTTCTGATGGTACTGGCACCATAGCATAGTGGCTAAATCCTTCCCTTGCACCATGTGGGTGCAAGGATCCCATATAGTTGGTGGCCTGGCTGCTTCACTTCCCATCCAGCTCCCTGCTTGTGGCCCAGGAAAGCAGTCAAGGACTGCCCAAAGCCTTGGGACCCTGCACCCACATGGGAGACCCAGAAGAGGCTCCTGTCTCTTGGCTTCAGATCAGCTCAACTCTGGTTGTTGCGGCCACTTGGGGAATAAATCAGCAACCAGAAGATCTTTTTGTCTGTTCTCTCTGTAAATCTGACTTTCCAATAAAACCAAATAAATCTTTAGAGGAAAAAAAAAAGATTTCTGATGAAATGAGAACATCAATAAGCATGATTTTAATATTGTACAATCAAATACGTTAA